GATTCGCTTGAAATCGAGCGCACGAGCATGTGGAGAAAACAATATCAGGCCTGCTAGATGTGAGATAGAGCAGAGATCCAATGATTGCCCTGTAGTTGGTGGCATCTACTGATTTCCCTGAAGGATCAGAGTCCAGTTTGCTGTTAGGGGACATAGGGGTCGTCATGAATGACTTGCCGTCAATATGAAATCTTTTCAACATATCCAGTATGTATTTGGACTGAATGATAAAGATCCCGTCTTGTAGTTGTCGCACTTGCAGGCCTAGAAGTGTTTGCACAGACGCGGATTTGAGGGGGCAAAGATGATGTCATCGACATAGATCAAAATCAAAATGATGTCAGATTTCTGTCGCTTGATGAACAATGTAGTATCAATCTTTCCTTTGGAGAAACCTGAATCAACAAGAAACTCTGTCAAGGCATCGTACCAGGCTCTTGGAGCTTGTTTCAGCCCGTAGAGTGCCTTGTTTAGTTTGAACACGTGGTCAAGGTACTTGGGATCTACAAAACCTTCGGGCTGAGAAATGTAGACTTCTTCCTCTAAAACTCCATTGAGAAAGGCAGTCTTCACGTCCATTTGAAAGACAGTGAAGTTCTTGTGTGCCGCGTATGCAAGAAAGAGGCGGATTGCTTCAATACTTGTTACGGGTTGAAATGTTTCATCATAGTCTATGCCCTCCTGCTGATTGTACCCTTTTGTGACCAATCTGGCTTTGTTTCGCACCACTATTCCTTCTTCGTCTTTCTTGTTCTTGAACACACATTTAGTGCCTATGATAGATTTCTGAGATGGCATTGGCACGAGTGTCCAAACTTGTAGTCTCTCAAATTGATTGAGCTCATCTTGTATAGAAATCACCCAATCTGGATCAGTGAGTGCTTCGGAGACTTTTGATGGTTCATTCTAGCTTAGAACGCAAGCAAAGTGGCATTCGTTCATTGTAGCAGATCTCGTGCGGACACCTTGACTCGGATCACCGATTATCTGTTCGACAGGATGTGTCTTCGTCCATTCCTTTAATGAGTCATGGGAATTGGAGTTATGATTGGTTGATCCGAGTCCTCATATGGAATAGTGTGCTCTTGAGCAGTAATGTTGTGCAGAGGAGATGATTCTGGAGTTGTATCAAACCCGTGATCCTCAACTTCTTTTGGATTTGATAGAGGGGTGGACTGGGTAGAAGTGGGATCAGTGGGGTAGGACTAGGCTGTGGTGTAGGTGATGGTGTTGCGGGATGTGGATTCTCATAAATTGTTTGAACAGTGAATCAAGAATCACACGGTCAGGTGAAGTTTGTGGAATGGCTTCATCAGTGGATTGTTGCGGTTCAGAAGAGGAGGGGTCTGCCAAGAAGTGCTCAGAAGCAAAGTCTGCCATTTCATAGAATGTTACATTCACACTCTCTATGACAGTTCATCGATCTCTCAAATAGATTCTGTATGTTTTGGACTGTGTAGAGTAGCCCATGAACACCCCTTCCCGGGCTTTTGGATCGAGTTTGCTCTTTTCGTCTCTATCATTCAGGACAAAGCACTTGCAGCTAAATACTTTAAAGAAGGAGATATCTGGGGTTCTGTTGAAGAGGATCTCATAGGGGGTCTTGTCGAAGTGTTTAAGAATAGACGTTCTTGTTTGTGTGAAGCACGCTGTATTGATGGCTTCAGCCCACAAGAAGTGAGAGAGCTTAGACTGGATCAACATGGTGTGTGCTGCTTCAACAAGTGTTCTGTTTTTGCTCTCAACCACCCCATTCTTTTGTGCGATACCCTGAGATTCATAGAACTCAGTGAGAACCTGATTCTTGAATTCTGTGCCATTGTCTGTTCGGGTTATCCTCACACTCTTCTGAAGTAGGTTCTGAGTAGTTCTGATGAAGGTCATAATAAATCCTGCAGTCTCGTCCTTTGTACGAAGAAATTTCGTCCATGTGTACCTCGAGTAATCATCAACAATTACAAGAGTATTTGCGACCATTGATGCTTTGAACTCTCATTGGTCCACACAGATCCCTATGAATCAAATGCAGTGGATGAGTAGATGATGGAACAGGTTTTGACTTGTGGGAGCTTCTTGTCATCTTGCCTAGTTTACAGGCACTACAATGATTGTCAGCGGAAGACTTTAGCAGAGGAAACCCCTTTACAAGTTTCTTGGAGGACAAAATGGAGATGTTTTTGAAGTTTAGGTGGGAAAAGCGTCGGTGCCATAGACTGTTCTGTTCAGTTGAGGCTCTAGACAGTAGACAGATGGAAGTGGTGGATTGTACACTTTTCAGATCTATCGTGTACAGGTTTGATGTCTTGTTACACGTTAATAATAAATTCCCAGTGCTGTCCAACACACAACATTGTTTGGCAAAGAACCTCACTTCCATCCCACTGTCACAAAATTGTCCTATGCTCAGTAAGTTATGTTTGAGCCCTTTGACATAAGAGACAGCCTTTATGGTGAAGCTAGCACAGATGACTTCCTCATACCCAAGGATTGGAGACGAGGCGTCATTGTCGAATCTGACATTTCCTCCAAAGCAGTTGGTGTAGTTGCTCAACAGGTGTTTCAATCCGGTCATGTGGGTTAAGCATCCAGAATCTAAGTGCCACACATGATCGCCCTACAAAAACAATTAAGCAGATTTAGGTCCCCATCTTGGAATGGGTCCTTCCTTATTAACAGTAAACACCTTTTTGAATTTCACTTTTAGCTGTGATCCAAAGTCAGCAGATTTCTCACCAAATGATTTATCTTTTGTGGGCTCTGTAATAAACAGTTCTGATTTTGAAGAAGGTCTGGCCATGAGAACCCACTTTTCAGTTTCAGTTTTAGTGAGTCCGTTTTTGGGGACCCACCTAGCAGTTTCAGGTTTAGTACGTCCGTTCTTGGGGACCCACCTTGCAGTTTCAGCTTTAGCAGGTCCGTTCTTGGGGACCCACTTTGCAGTTTAAGTTTTAGTAGGTCCATTTTTGGGAACCCACTTTTGCTTAGTGTTAGGAGAAGTGTAGACTTTTGCTTTGTGATTGAAAGGTTGTTTGGTGAGTTGAGACTTAAAAATCTTCTCTTTCGAGAGTCTGTTAACGTGTTTCTCAGAGTGAACTTTGACGGGATATTTTAGATTTGGAAGACAGAAAACTCCCTCAAAGGTTCTGCTCTTATTTTCTTTTCTTTGTTTAACCTGTCTCCGAGATCGCACCTTAACAACATTCGAATCACATTCATAGTTGTTGAGGTCAGTAAAAGAATAGCCATAAGAATCAGTTGAGATATAAGAAGCAGGTTGTTTGAAAGACAATACAGAATTTTTCAGCTTGGGACTCAAAGCTGAATTACTGACTGAATGTTTGATTGAAACAGAATTACAATTTTTCTTAGAATAAAAAAGAGAGCTAGAACAAGGACTGGACTTCTTTTCTTCAAAAACTTCTTTGCCATTCGCCTGTGAGGCTTTTTTCATTTAAAACAGGATAATTGCAAGAAATGGCAGCCTTTGGGTTCTTTCTCTTTTCTTCTTCTTTTTCGGCATTTTCTTCATCACTTCTAAAATACATTTTCTGATCATATCCTTGTCTCATGTGATCTAAGTCATAAAGCTGAATGCAATCAACTTTCTTTAGATAGCATGGATTAGACATGTCAAGCCCGGATCTGGGATTGTAGTACCGGTCATCACTAATTTGATTTAAGAAAATAGTTTGTTCTGATTGACCTCTTGTAGCAATTAAATCCTCAAGTTCTTTGATTTTGCTAGAGAGTATTTCTTTGATTTTCAAAAACATTTTTGTCAGCTTTAACTGTACTTAACTCTATTTCAGTTTAAATCCTCAGCTCTGATACCAATTGTTTGTCCCTGTTTATATGATTACAGCAATATGTATGGAGATGATAAAAGATAGAGTAGAAGAAAGATATACGCTGGAGATCCTTAAACTCGTCTTTGATATACCGTGAACTTTACAAACACAAGGATGAGCGCTAAGGCTGATAAGATCAATATGCAAAGTTAACGCAAAATCTAAACCTTATGCGCCTTTTTATATGCGCAGGTTAAGGTTTGCGTAAAGGCTTTCAGCCTGCCTGATATGGGCCTGACACTTTGGCCCCATATCCTTTATACCCTAATAAATACAAACATTAATTACAAGGGATAATAAAAGCTAAGCTATTACAAGACATCAGACAAGCTTGATTCACAACAGAATATTCTTCAACAAATAATAATAATAATAATAGAATTATACGAAGTACTAAGTAGTGTGATATTGTATAAATAAGAGTCCTGGGCCATGTCAGAAAATATGGGCCGACCCTTAAGAATATAATTACTATTCCGTATAAGAGTGGGAAGGAGGGAATAAGCGAGTTAGGCAAAATTTCACTTGGAATCAGGCTGGTAGAGTGAGACCTCTTGAAGAGTCTCAATCTATTTCTTCTCTTTGTACGTTGGTTTACTGTTTCTCCATTGTCGTTTGCTTAAGGACTTTATTGTGCTATTCTCTGGATTTCATACCTAATATACATAAATTCTCCTATTGTGTATCTGGAATTTGGTGTTCTCTATCAACTTACATCAAAATTTAAAAATTAATTTCAATTTTACAAATGAAAGTAAGGTCCATTTGGTGAATTTACCATGAATTGTCTGCTATTTCTGCACATTTTTTTATATGCAAATTTTCCAAGTTATATTTAGGTAGGTGCAAAAGGGTTCAGAGTTTCTCTGGCAACATTCCATGACGGGCATCAAAGGTAAAATTTTGTCTACTATCCTTTGTGAGTAAATTTATAGAATTAAATACTTCGAGAAAACTTATATACACTATAAATTCCATGTAAAATTTTGTATACTATCCTTTGTGAGTAAATTTATAGAATTAAATACTTCGAGAAAACTTATATACACTATAAATTCCATGTTACCTCCAACAACATAGTGGGGATAAAGGTAGTGGTTACAATAATGAGGATAGTGGTAAAGGTCAAAACTTAGGATTAACACTACTGACCTGCAAACTAGCATCAGGTCCCTGTGTCCACCAACTTGCACAAGCATCAAATTGTGGAATAATAGAATCAACATTCTTAGCCTACAGGAAATTCAAAGAAACAAATAAGCATTAAATGTCAGCGCCCTACTGTGTGAAGAAGTGACATTTCAGCAAGTGAATAAATTACCAAGTATTCAAAAACTGATCTTGTACGATAATGTAAATCATTGATCGGTTTACCAAATATCTAGATGTGTTAGTCAGTCCAAAATCAAAACTAAAATTCACAAATATATAAACTTTTCCCAATGTTTGATTGTTGTACTCATGAGATTTCATTTTTTACTAACAAAAGGATCAGTTATGTATGTTGCCCACCCATATTCACTCCACAAACCACAGCTAAATTTATCTTTATGCTAACATGATGCTGAATGAGGATATAGGTGCATTGGTGTCGGAAGTGGAAAATAATACATTTAGTAACTCAACTTTCTACACCTACAATGTGTTGACCAAATATTGTCAATCAGTAGCCTTTTATGATATGTATGGTCTTAAAAGCTTTGGCAATGTACAATAGGAAAAAAAGGATGTTTCAAAGGGGAATGTGAAGGTTCTGAAGGTTTCTGATAGGAACACAGAAATCTGAGGTTGAATTGTTGAATATGAAACTGAAAATGAAGAAACGGAAAAGTAACTATACAGTTGAGGCAAGTTCGAGAGTGCCTCGTCTCTCCCAGTCCTAATCCCAAATCCAAAATCTGTCTACCTTCTTAAATCTCCCTCCCTTCTATTTATACTTACTTATGGGCCAGCCCAAAACTAACTAATACTTGGCCCAGGACCCTTTAATACACTATCACCATTATTTAATATACTTCTATTATTATTAGTATTATTATACTAATGGGTTCCTATCTTATCTCCCCCCTTAGACAACCACCTTGTCCTCAAGGTGGGTGATAGGAAACAGCCTTGATCTTCAAATTCATCTTCATCTTGGCGCCTCTCCCTTCCCAGTACATCACAGATTTCTGAACCCATAGCTTCCTGATTTGAAGCTTCACCATCACTCCTTTCATTGCCAGAAAGAGCATCGCAAGAAAGGGCAGAGGCAAGGACTTTGTTGCATCCTGCTCCACAATGTCGCAGAGTCTAAAATCTTCCAGCAACTGCATCTCTGGCCCATCTCCCAACCACTTTATGCTGTGTTTCCAGAAATTTTTCTCTGACTTTCCCTGATTGGCTAGCGGTCCCATTTCCAGAATCACATAAATCTCTCCAAGGTCTAACAAATAGAAATCCTCAGTCATCACTGAATTTCGTACCCAAGTCTGTAGTTACTCACAACTGTTCTGCAGAGATAATTGCTCTCCTTTCCCCATCTCGACTTGAAACCTCACTGCTGCTTTATAGTACATCTGCACCACCTCTATCAATTTCTGAGATATGAGATTAAGAGTGGCCCCAGACTTCGGCAATATCAGAATCTGTAGCTCTCCTTGTACCTTGCAGGTTCTAGGGCATATAAGTCTGTTAGACATGCAGCAAGGCAGTCGGTGGAATTTTATAATAAAGTGTATAAAAGAAGAGCTAATAGGGATGTTGCTAATAACTAATAACTAATAACTAACGGGTTAGTTAGTTAGTTATTGTCCCTGCGTGGACATTAATATAAATAGAAGAGCTCAGCTAGCTGAAGGTAGTTTTGGAGACTCTTGGCTAGAACACGACTGGGAGATTAGGCATCTCGAATTGTCTACAGCTTGTATATTCTGATCTGGTGAATAAAGTGTGTGTACTGTGTGTTGTTTTTTTGAGAATTCTGTATTCGATATTGCATGATCTATCATTGGTATCAGAGCATTACGCTCCTGCAGATTACAGAAGTGAGAAGATCCAGAAGTTTTGTTCGTTCGAAGTTGAATGGTTAAAACGAGAGCAAGAATGGATCGTCGTTTGGATTCGATGGAACAAAAACAACAGGAGACGCAATCTGCATTGGAAGTTCTCGCAGCTAAGATTGATGCGATGGCGGCACAGTTTCAGAACCGAGGAAGATCGCGAACACCTCAAACTCATCATACGAGGAATTCGCGCAGTCCGATACACTCCAGAGGTAATTCGGTTAACTCTCATGTCCATAATGCTCGACGTAACAATGAGTATATGAGAGCACAAATTAGAAAGGTAGATTTACCTTTATTCAATGGCGAAGGAGCCTATAATTGGATCATACGCATGGAGAGATATTTTCGTTTAAATCACATTCCGGAAGAAGAAAAGGTTGAAGCATCTATGATCGCGATGGAGGATAGAGCACTTAACTGGTTCCATTTGTGGGAGAATCAAACTGAGGAAACAAGTTGGGATGCTTTGAAGAAATCTGTCATTCGCAGATTTCAACCAGAACTGATTCAGAATCCGTATGGACCAATGTTAAGTTTGAGACAAACTGGAAATGTGCAAGATTATCGAGAAGAGTTCGAAATGGTGATAGCTCCACAATTGCATATGGATGGGGAATTGCTGCGAGGGGTATTCATGTCAGGTTTGAAGGATGAGATAAAATCTGAGCTGAAGATGTATGCATCCAGGTCTTTAACTGAGATCATGGATAGAGCTGTACTTATTGAACAGAAGATTGAAACACAGTTTGGAAAAAAGAAGGAAGAGGACAAGCTGACAATAAGGGAAAGAGGTTCTGTAACAGTCAAGGGACAGAGTTGGGGAGATAATTCCAGAGTGAAATCTGGTTACAACTGGCCATCTCAGAGTAAAATTGTAGCTGAGAATAAGTATAATAATACTGGAATGGATAAGATTGGTAAGAAGACTATTGATTCTTACCCAACTGGATTTAAAAGAACAGGACCCTTGTTGTCTCAAGAGGAATTTCAGGAAAGAAGTAGAAAGGGGCTATGTTTCAAATGTGGTGAAAAGTGGAGTAAAGAACATACTTGTAAATTGAAAAATTTCAAGTTAATGTTGGTTGAGGAAGCAGTTGAGGAAGAACAGTCAGAACAAATTGAAGTTACCATACCAGAAAATATCTGTCAGGAAGTAATGGAATCTAAGTCTATGCAGTTATCCTTGATGAGCAAAGAAGGGATTCCTACCATGAGGGCTTTCAAAGTGCAGGGGATTCTGAGGGGAGAATCAAGAGATCAACATGTGAATGTGTTGATTGACAGTGGGGCTACCCACAACTTTATTTCATAACAGTTGGTTGAGCAATGGAAACTGCCTTTTCAGACAGTTTCTGATTACAAAGTGCAGATTGGTAATGGAGATCATATATCCAATAATAAGAAGTGTCCTCAGTTGAGATTGAACCTACAAGGAGCTGAGATAATACAGGATTTTTATATCCTAAATTTAGGGGGCACTGATTTGGTATTGGGTATGGATTGGTTGACAAGTTTAGGAGATGTAGAGATAAACTTTCAGAAACAGAAAATTAAATGGAAACAGTGGGAGCAGGAGGTGTGCATTCAAGGAGATCCCAAACTGAATTCAATGGAAGTGTCATTGAAAACATTTTCACAAATATTATGTGATAATGGAGATGGTTATTTCTTATATTGTGAAGGAAAGAACATAGAAATGGAGCAAGAAGGAGGACTGGAAACCATTTGGAAGCAGATTTTGGAAGAATTTCCAGAAATTACAAAACCTAGAGAGGGTTTACCTCCCAGAAGAAACTGTGATCACTCTATAACTATTCAGGAGGGAGCTAAGATACCTAATATCAGACCTTACAGGTATCCACAGTACCAGAAGACTGAAATAGAGAAGATTGTGAAAGAAATGCTTGATTCTGGGATCATCCAGAATAGCAATAGTCCTTACAGCAGTCCCATACTCTTAGCCAAGAAGAAGGATGGTGGATGGAGGTTCTGTGGAGATTACAGAGCCCTTAATAAAATCACAGTTCCTGACAAATATCCAATTCCAGTAATTGAAGAACTACTTGATGAACTTGGGGAAGCTACCATATTTTCTAAATTGGATCTAAAATTTGGCTACCATCAGATCAGGATGAAAGAAGAAGATAAGATGAAGACAGCTTTCAGGACACATGAGGACCATTATGAATATCGGGTAATGCCCTTTGGTCTAACTAATGCTCCCTCTACCTTCCAAGCTTTGATAAACCAGGTACTAAGGCCTTATTTGAGAAAGTGTGCCTTAGTCTTTTTTGATGATATCTTGGTATACAGTAGAACTAAGGAGGACCACATAGAGCATTTGAGAGCAGTCCTATCTGCTTCGAGGGATAATCAGTTGGTGATTAACCCAAGGAAATGCTCTTTTGGACAACCTCAATTAGTCTACTTGGGGCATATTATTTCTGGAGTAGGAATAACAGCAGACCCTACCAAGATTGAAGCCATGGTTACTTGGCCAAAACCTCAGAATTTAAAGGAGTTGAGAGGGTTTTTGGGGTTAACTGGCTATTACAGAAAATTTGTAAAGGGGTACAGTAAGATTGCAGCACCCCTTACACAACTCCTAAAGAAAGACAGTTTTCAGTGGGGAGAACAAGCTACACAATCTTTTGAGGAGTTAAAAAGAACCATGACTTCACTCCCAGTCCTAGCTACACCTAACTTCAATAAGACATTCATTCTGGAGACTGATGCTTCTGGAACTGGGTTAGGTGCAGTTCTCATGCAAGAAGGCAGACCTGTGGCTTTTATGAGCAAGATATTATCTAAAAGAAACCAAAACAGATCAGTCTATGAAAGAGAGCTCTTGGCTATTGTGTTAGCAGTACAGAAGTGGAGACCCTATTTGTTGGGAAGAACTTTTGAGATTGTAACTGATCAAAAGAGTTTGAAGTTTCAGACAGAGCAAAGATTAATGGGTGAAGAACAACAGAAGTGGACTTCTAAGTTGTTGGGGTACAATTTCATCATCAGATATAGACCTGGGATAGAAAACAGAGCTGCTGATGCTCTATCTAGAAGACCCATGCTCCAGTCTCTTTCAATTGTGACATGTCAAGAATGGGATGGATTGGAAGAAGAATTGAAGGCTGACATCAAGTGTGCACAGTTGATTCAGAAGGTGATTTCTTATCCAGATCAATA